GGAAATGGGGTGCGACGAGTGGCCAAGTGGTTGCCGGTGGAAATGGAGAAGGAAGTGGGGCTCATCAATTGAATGAACCTCGAGATGTGATTGTCAACAAAGAGAGAGATTGTCTAATCATCTCCGATACTTCGAATAGAAGAGTGGTTCGATGGCCTCGTCGAAATGGGACAAGTGGAGAAACAATCATCTCCAACATCTCTTGTTGGGGTTTGACAATAGACGAGAATGGATCTCTCTATGTCGTTGACTTGGGAAAAAATGAAGTGAGACGATATCGAAGAGGAGAATCTCAAGGAACAGTGGTTGCAGGTGACAATGGAAGTGGAAATCGTCTCGATCAACTCTCTTACCCACAATACGTATTCGTCGATCGAGATCATTCAGTCTACGTGTCTGAATGGGGAAATCATCGTGTGATGAAATGGGTGGAAGGTGCAAAACAAGGCATTGTCGTGGCTGGTGGTCAAGGAGAAGGAAATGGTCTTACACAATTGTCATATCCCAAAGGAGTCGTTGTCGATCAATTGGGCACTGTCTATGTGGCTAATGCAGGGAATCATCGAATCATGCGTTGGCCCAATGGAGCCAAACAGGGAAGTGTTATTGTTGGTGTAAACGGTGGAGGAGGACAATCGAACCAACTCAATGTGCCCATCGGTTTATCATTCGATCGACACGGCAATCTCTATGTCGTCGATTTCGGAAATCATCGAGTACAAAAATTCAATATCTATTCAACTACATAACATACATTGAGAGTGGATCTTGATGATATGTTGAGCGGTATTACCTATGACTGTGCTTTAGAAGTACATTCTATCGAGAAGTACATAGATGTACGTTGAAATAGGTTGAGATATGTATGCATTATCTAAAAGAAGGAGGTCTGCAGAACGTTTTAAGGTTCTGTGTTTTACTCGGGCCCAGAACCCCCTAAAAATGGCTCTGTACAAGAAAGAAAAAGGATGTTGTAGAGGGGGTTCGAAACAGTTGTTTTTCTGTAGTACTATTTTTGAGGGATTCTGTACTCGAGTAAAAGGCAGTACCTTAAAAGCTTCTTCAGACCTCCTTTTTTCTAGAGATTAGACGAGTATGCTTTGAAAGTACTTCTTCTTTACTTTTGAAGGAAACCTCGAGAAGTGTAACTTCAGTGGACTCTTTACTTCCAACTCGCTGAATCGTACACACTCGGATAGTGACTGCATTGTCGTCAGCTTTAGCAGCATTGTGAGTATACTGCGCATTGAGATTCACTGACTACAGTAATAGCTGTTCACTTGAGAACTCATATATGACATCAATGCTCAATGAAAACTGAGCATGCTGAAGTTGGAGATCAGCGAAATATCCACACTCCGATATTGATTTCTGTTGACTATAGTCCATATCAAAATATTATGACACGCATCGAATATAATAAATGAATTCATAGAATATTTTCTTTGGATGAGAGTATGACAGCATAATCAATTCTCAGGCTTCTTTATTATAACCGAATCTAATTAACACCTCATTTTCATAGTCAATGAATAATTCTTGTTTGCTTATCTGCATGAACTACTGTACACGGGTGTAAATATATGTTGGATGAGGGTATAGGTGTGCTTAGGCGTAAGATTGGGATGTATGAAAGGCATCTATAAACATTATCATACAGATTCATTTCTCCATCCTCACCTATCCGCACTATTCACGTCAACAGTCATCCTACATGTAAGAATTGTTTTATCAATATAAGCACTCTTTTAATTTTGAAGTATATCTCCTCTTGTTCTGTTATAGTCAATTTGTCAACAATAAAATAGAAATTGGCAGATTATAGCTAAGCATAAGACCATAAGAGAAATCGCCTTCAGAGCTAAATATTTCAAAATATCTGTGATGCAGAATGGCGTAATGATGAAGACAATGTCCAAAATTTTATATGGTTCAAACAATGAGAATTAATTTTACGATCTCAAATAGATTTAATTAACGTTAATAATCTTCATAGGAATGCAGTAGAGTCATATATTCGGGATATAAATTGGCACATAAGCACATAGCTAAATCTGTGCAAAAAGTTGATCTTTAGATTCTCATTACAACCCAAAATAAGTGCTTCACATAGATTTAGAAGTTTAGCATATTTGCATTTATAGCGAGCTTTCTATGTTTCTTAAATATTGAGGCAAATAGAACTTGAACATAATATAAGGGAGAAAGTGCAAGTTTGAAATTTTCAGTACCGGAGTACCTATTCACTACTTTCAGCAAACTTCGACATCTTCATCATTCTCAGCATTTTCCCATCGTCTTCAGTGTTTTTTCGACATTTCATCGTAAAATTTGGTGTTTAGTTGCTGCAAGGTAAGTGCAGCATCTAAGCAGTAAATTTCACCACAAAGTACTGAAAAACACTGAAGATACTGAAGGTGCCGAAAAGAAGCTGCAGGTGATAGGGGTTCAAACTTGCACTTATTCCCTTGACATAATATGTTAAGATCACAAAAGAAAATAAATTTTTAATATTTAGAACTTTTGCTTGAAAGATGATGTTCACGTATTAAAACTAAAACTGTTAATGCATAGTAATAACATATTTCTGTGAAAGTTGCATTATTATTCCAGATTATAGATTGTCTAAATTTGGTTTATTTTTCGGAATCCTTGAGATGTGCTCATATCAATACTTTTCGTTGACGAGTATGAATAAAAGTAAAAAAAAAAGAGCATATTTTGGCAGATTCGATGTTTCTGTGTTGCCATGAGCACCGATAACACTATGACCATTGTCTGTGAAGCTTTGATATCCTAGTGAGCGTCAGTGTTCCAATGAATACCAATAGCTAGATCATTGTAGTTGATGGTCGTCAGCATCAGTTTACTCATAATTTCAATAAAACTGATGTTAGCATATTGAGTGTCATTGTAGACTCACTGTCAGTGAATCATTGTCAAGATTTCAAAAATTTTTATTGAGACTGCACATCCCAAGAAGCATTTAATGTAAACAAGAAATTAAAAGAAATTTGTTGTTATCGTTGCGACTTGTTTGGGTAGCGGAAGAAAGCCGATCATCTGATACATACATTTTTCTATTTGTTGATAACCGACAAACCGATTGTTTAAGTATATATTTTTTTCGTTATTACTAAGTTTCACCTTAAAATAGGAAGACTCATCTACAGTGCGTAATTTCATCTCAAAGGAGAGATGACTGTGGATATGGATGTTCTCCGCATCATGTTCACACTCCTATGAAGACCAACATCCTTATCCTATATGTCGTCTTTAACTTTTCGTAAAACAAACTTTCATGTATTCTTGTACTTATATTTTTCTTAAGGTTACTTACATACGTTATCCTCCTTCTTCTTTACTATATATTATGTTGTTACGTAGCAATTAATATGGCTCAGATAATTTACACAAGACTGAATAGATTGTTTTTTTTATAAAGCATTGCAGTACATTTTTGTTCCTATTGAGTTCTAATTTATTTTATTTGTTCTAAGTTTATGTTCTATGCTATTTTGCACGATTTTATATTATTTCTATGTTTAATATGTTATTTTAGTTGAATTATTAACAATTGATTCAACAATACGAGCATCTATGGAAGGTTAAACTGGTTTAAAAACTTTGAATGAGCTCAGAATTAGATACAAGTAATGAGAAGTGCGAAGATGTGTGGAAGTGCTGTTTTTCGCCTTGTGAAATAAGCTTTTGTGGAACTCACGTATATTTTCGAAGAAAACAGTGAGTGCAAGTTTTAAATCGAGGTTTTGAGGCTCCTCTCCCCCTAGGCCCCCACCATTGCAGACCGTAGCAGCGCAGGCACCCATTACAGACCTTAGGAACCGGAGTCAAAAGTCATTGGGTGCATTTCCTAGCAATGGTGTACAATAGGAACTGGCTGCTTTCCTATGGCTCGTTAGCAACCATATGGCGCGAAACCATACATTATTGAATATGTTTCCATAGCAGCAAGCTCCTCCATGATAGACCGTTACAAACAAATTAATTAATTAGCAAAACAGTGAATTAATAATTAATAATTTTTTAGCATTTTGTGGAACTCAGATATATTTTCGAAGAAAATAATAAGTGTAAGTTTTAAGTTCGAGGTTTCGCGGCTCCCCATCCCCCTCTCCTTACAGACAGACCCCATTACAGACCATAGCAACTTCACAAAAAGAATTCTACTTGAGGTATATAAATAAAAAAAGACAACATTTGCGGACAATCAATTATCATTAGAAAAGAATTATCGTCTTTGAGAGAATTTAAACATTATATATTTTGCCATTAGCACAGTGAAAGTAAATAAGATATGTGAGTTCCACATTTCAGCCACAAAGGGGCTGCGTTAACAAGCTTTTTCGGTCTGGATATTTATAGAGATTAATATTCTATTCGTGGCATGATCTCGTGCATTCTTGGTTGTTGCCATCACGAACAAACTGAGAAACTAGGTGGAAGAATAAATACAATTCATATATTAAAGAGTTCGCAAGGGAATTAAATTATATATTTTGCGGTATATTTTCATACTCAACACAGAATACAACGCAAGAGAAACACATATTTCGTTGTGAAAATCGAAGCTCGAGTACGGGAGTAAACCAATGTTTGATTTCCAGTGATGGAATGTCATTGAAATAATTATGCAAGACTTGTTAAGATCTCATAATGCCGTCGAGGAATCGCCTCATATATTCAACAAGCGTATACCAATAAAAATATACATTCATTACTAAACATGCCAAACATATCTTACGTAAAAACTTTAGATTCGAGATCAATACTAAACGATTGCCTTCCGATGTCAGTGAGATTGGGGAATATCTAACTCACATCGCTAAGAACTTGAAAAAAGTACTTGAATGTCTTAAAGTAGACACTATTTTATATGTCTCGAATGAAAATAAATAGTCACATTTCTCGATGAGACGTAAACGAACGAATTGTAGTTCGGGCGAAATTTACTGAGATGAATTGAAATAGAACCAAATGCAAATGGAATGAGGTGTTATTGGAACGAATTGTAAAAGACACATAGAAGAGACAGACGTTTCATGCATCGAAATGAGCGGTATCCAATGCATCCACACCTATATCCAATGTTCATTCACATTTTTAAGTTAGCTTTAGTTTCAGTGTCATCACTATCGACTGACATTCATCCAAATGCACGATGGCAACAGAATGGTATTACCGTTGCTGGAGGAAATGGACAAGGAAATGAAATCAATGAACTCTCAAACCCATACGGTTTGTATGTTGATGAAGATCAAACAATATATGTCGCTGATCAATCGAATCACCGTATTGTGGAATGGAAATGGGGTGCGACGAGTGGCCAAATGGTTGCCGGTGGAAATGGACAAGGAAGTGGGGCTCATCAATTGAATGAACCACAAGATGTGATTGTCGACAAAGAGAGAGATTGTCTAATCATCTCCGATAGATCGAATAGAAGAGTGGTTCAATGGCCTCGTCGAAATTGGTCAAGTGGAGAAACAATCATCTCCAACATCGATTGTTGGGGTTTGACAATAGACGAGAATGGATCTCTCTATGTCGTTGACTGGGGAAACCATGAAGTGAGACGATATCGAAGAGGAGAATCTCAAGGAACAGTGGTTGCAGGTGGCAATGGACGTGAAAATCGTCTCGATCAACTCTCTTACCCACTGTACGTATTCGTCGATCGAGATCATTCAGTCTACGTGTCTGATAGTGGAAATCATCGTGTGATGAAATGGGTGGAAGATGCAAAACAAGGCATTGTCGTGGCTGGTGATCAAGGAAAAGGCAATGGTCTTACACAATTGTCATATCCTAATGGAGTCGTTGTCGATCAATTGGGCACTGTCTATGTGGCTGATGGATGGAATCATCGAATCATGCGTTGGCCCAATGGAGCCAAACAGGGAAGTGTTATTGTTGGTGGAAACGGTAGAGGAGGACAATCGAACCAACTCAATTATCCCACCGGTTTGTCATTCGATCGACACGGCAATCTCTATGTTGTCGATTACGGAAATCATCGAGTACAAAAATTTAATACCGATTCAAATGCATAACACGTGTTGAAATGTATTTTTGGTATCAAGAACATTTAATCGAATAAACGAAAGGATTTGAATGATGATGAATGAATGTAGAATCTGGTTTTTCGAACTCATAAAAGTGAATGTTGGTCTCGTTATTGCTTCTTATTAAATGTAGATGAGAGCAGTTGCATATAAGTTACAACGTGGACATCGATTTGAATCCATTTTTTCAGCGCTTTATTCTAAATGATTGAGTCGAAAGTCTATTCATTTTTGATGCGTTTGAAAAAGGAAAAAAATAATTTAAATTCATGAAATACGTAGAAATGAACAGTACAATAATAGTAGTATTGTCGAACATTGAATTTCGACAATAAACTGTTGAAAAACAATGACGAGAGACTACAAGGCTTATCAGTGCAGTTCTTGATAGCATCAAACTGTGGACCTTACATATGTTATTACTATTATACGGTGATCATAAATTATTTCTGTAAATGTTTCGTAAAAATAGACTCATGGAATCGTTGCGGTATGATACTTGATGGAACATGATTGTCAAAGAGCTCTAATGCATACGGGAAGAAAGTTGGAACTTTTGTGAGTAGAAAGGACATCTAAAAAAAATAGGAAAACGAGAATAAAAATTACTTAGCTTTTCCCAAAGCTTATTTGAAGAATAAATCAATATTTTTGTAAATAAAAAGAAAATGATCTTGGATTTGGTACAATATTAAGGGGCTTCTCCTGCTATCGACAACTTTGTTTTGTCCTGAAATGTCTGATCTAGGTACTATTTTCAGAAAATGTGTATCTTATCGTACATAGTTCATAGTAGAAATTTGAACAGATCACATCGATATATTCAAGAGTTATGCGAACAATAAAGTTAAAAAAATACGTTTACGTGTATTTCAGAGTTCTTCTGCAAATTTAATGATATAGATTTCGGGGTTCTGTGAAAATATAGCCAAGACTCGTGACTACAACATAACATGATGTGGCGCATGGATATGGTTGTGCTTATTTATCATCATCTTAACCAAATTCAAATATATCTCCTAAAAAGCAAAAGTCTTGAATATCTGAATCGTTCTCTACAGATATCTATGCAGAAAGCAATCGAAAAAGTACAAGTCTATTACATATCCGAGAGTTTTCGCCAAAAATTTCTATCCACCAGGAGTCAAGATATCACTCCAAATAGATTGGAGAGCGTACTTCTCATGAAAATCGAAAAAAAGTTTTCTCAATTTTTGTGGGAACTGTGGAATCTATTCTGTCTATGGTTGTGTCCTGATCTTTACTAGATAGAGATTTGTGAGAAGAATTTGAGATCAAAAAGCAGCCTTAAAAGGGCGCATGACGGTTTTGCATTGATGTGAAAATCAGAATTTCATATATTTCGTTTCATGTATACAATGATAGTTTTCAAAGAAAAACAGTCTCATGAAAATATTACGCAAACAAAAGATAGGTAAGATTTACTGATTTATTGAAGAACCAACTTGTTAAATTTTATAAGACACCTTTTTGAATATGCTTATTCTTCACAAATGATGACTTTTCAACTCGATTGTTTAACCAAGATGTTGGTATTATAATTTTCGTCTTGTAAATGAAATATTGTAGAAAGATTTAGATTTGACTATTCTCTAAAACTATTGAATTCTCAATGAAAAGATTCTCTTTTGTTATTTTCACTGAAAGTCGATCATATATAAACATAATACTCTGTTTCAACGAAGTTTTGTCCCAACTAGAATATGAGTATGAGAGTTGTTGCGGCATCGTCTTTAGCATAGAAATCTACCATAAATGAGTATGAGTGCAAGAATGTTCACTGTCGAGTTGAACAACAAGACAGGGGAACAGTTGACTGTTGAGAAAAAAACTTAGCGATGAATAAATTTTCATTAAACAAGATATTTGAAGTTAAACAATCATACTCTCCAATATTGAGGATTTGAGTAAAAGATATCTCTTGTTCCAAATCAGATTTCCATCAAGAGAAACTTGGAAACAAATCGAAACTTGAAACGATGTTGATT